GTTTAAACAAGAAGTTAGCAAACTTTTTCTGTAAAAGAGATAGTCAATATTTTAGGCTTTGTGGGCCATAGTCTCTTTTGCAACCTGGCTCTGTAGTGTGAAACTAGCCAGACATAAAACATAAACAACTTTCTTTACAAAAGTACATGTTGGCAGGCTTGGCCCGTGGCCATAGTTTGCCAAATCTTAGTCAATCTTAGTTCTCTTCCTGTTTTCTTCTCCCAAACAAACTCCACAGTTCTCACTTCTCAAGTACTACCCACTTCCTTCCCCAGATGACTGATTCCTGAAACCCTGGCTCACATGGCTTCCTTCACCTCCCTCCCTTAAGAGACCCTTTCCTGCATTCATAGGCAGGTCATGGTCTTGCTGGAAGTCCTTACCATTGGCATACAATGAGTGCTGCTCTCTACCTGGGGCTGGGTGCAGATTCTGGGGTAAAAGGGGGTTTGGAAATATAAAGGTACAATTCACAGAGTACCTTCAGAGAGTAGGCTGTACAGTGGAGACAGAAAGGCTAACAGAAAAAACGTCAGTGGAGGCTCCAGGGGGCTAAGACTCGTTTGTTTATGAGGGTTAAGTCACAGGTCTGGACATGATTAATTTTCAAGAGATGTTTCCTTTGAAAAATACCCTAGAGGGTAGGATGCCTTTATGGGAATCACAAACTGGAAGAAGCAGGGTCAGAAATGATGGGGTACTCTTGCATGGAAAGGGCCCAGACCTGCCAGTCAGGCTGCTTCTCAGGAGAAGAAAAAGCTAATAACTTTGAGTATACATTATGTGCCAGACACTGGGTTGGAAGATTCATGCAAAACTCCTAACCTAGTGACTAGCACATGGCTGGTTGTCTGAAAAACATTTTCTTCTACTTCTTCAGTTTCTGTTATTCTTCACAGCCACCTTGCAAAGGTTGGTACTATTATCTCCATTTTATAGATGAGGTAACTAAAGCTTGTAGAGGTGAATTCTCCAAAGTCAAACAGTAAGTGGTGGGGAGAGAATTGTAATCCAGGTTTATATGCTTTTTCTCCACTAGCATGCTGCCGCTGTGATAGCAGATGTTTCTAAAACTTTAAACATTAGCTCCTGAGATAGAAATTAGGTCATATGTGAGTTTTAGAACACTTGGTTCATGCCTAGTGCCCAGAAAATATTCATCAACTCTAAATGGGTAGGATTTGTGAAAATGGCTCCTCCTGAAAAGCCAAGAGGACATTTATGGAAACTCAGAGAGGCCTCTGATTATTAAAGATCCCTAATGATCATCTGTCAGGGTTGTGTTTCTGAGTCTCCATTCAATAAAGAGCCCTGTGAATTTGACGGGAGTCTGTTTTATGGGAGGTATAGCAACAGGTAGTAAAATGAATGCTTCAAACAAAGAAACCAGACCTTCTATACCTAGGTAAGTGCTACTCTGTAGTCAAATGCTCTACCACTGAGCTATAACCCCCATAAGTGCTACTCTGAAGTGGGCCCCTTGGGTGACCTCATTCTAGTTCTAGTGATAACATCATTGGTTAAATTGTTTTTAAAATTGTCTTCAGAGATATAATCTGTTGAACATCTTCAGTGTGGAATGTTATTGTTTGTTGAGGAATGGTTGTGCTATCTGGAAATGGTTAAGTGTCTTCTGGAGCTATGTCCAAAAAGTGAAGCTGTTGATCTGACCATTTTTCTTGTGTAGCTATGGAATTGGGCCTGAGGGTGGTTTTCTGAACAACATTCTAAAGAAGGCTTTGTGTCCCTGAGATTCTGAGCTAAGGGGACTCTCACCAGGAGTCTTATTTTCATGAGACCAGTTTCTACACAAAATGGAGCCCATGTGGGGGGTGGGTGGGGTAGGGATGGGTAGGTAGGCAGGATCTCCACATGAAGAGGGATGTTATTTACTACCTGTGAAAGGCATCTTCCTCTTGAGGGTCTTTCACCAGTGATTGCTTATCCACCATCTTGTATGAGGCTGGGAAGGAGCTGGCTGTGTTGTGTTGCTTTACCTTTAATGCTCTGATCCAAGGGTGAATGGACAGAAATAGAAGGCCATAAAGGCCATTGGAAGGATGCCTTGTTATAGACGCAGGGATGGTAGAATTCATAGATCTTCAGTTCATAGTCCCATCTCCAGCTGCCTTCCCATCTAATCCTGGACTTGCCTCATGTTTTTCTAACCACATAGATATACCTTAAAGTAAGTCTAGCCTGCATGGAATCTAGACTCAAGATGAGAGGGAAGGGAAGCAAGGATGGGAGGTTGGATAGACAAACAGTGCTAAATGAAAAAGGGGAGAGGAAGTTGAAAGCTGGCTCAAGCCTTAATTGGGGTGCCTGGTGAGGTGGGGACTTGTCTAGGGCTGGGGAGAGGAAGTTTCAAGTATCCTGGCTGATGGTCAGGAAGGAATACTTGGATTGTATGACTGGGTGGTCTTCCTCAAGAGTAGTCTGGCCCAGCTCCTGGAGAACTTGCCACAAATTCCTAAATAGAGGGAGCTGCAATCTTGAATAAGTGAATCTAAGTCTGAGGTCTATGAGAGCAATTATTTTTGCCATTGACAAGTGGAAAATAAGAATGTTGCCCCTGGAGAGGAGGAAGTAGGGTAAATTTGAAACTCTGTAGGTGAATTTGGAAGGCCTAGAAACAAACTGCACCAAATAGCTTTGGCACTGGTAGCTATTTGGCTGGAAGCGAACAAGAGTTAGAGTTGGAATAAACATGTATCTACCCAAGGTGATAGCCTTGAAAGCCAACTTTGATGCTTACTTATCATACCCAAGACAGAAGGAAGAAGAGAGTCTAGAATATAAAAATGAGATTACCCAAAATGTCATTTATCTGTTTCCCCTCTTTTGTTCTAAAGAATCTTCTAAATTTGAATTTTAACCTACCTTTTTTTTCAATGATTCTGATTGGAGAATTAGAGAATGAATAATAGGAGAAAGGGACTGGGAAACCTGCCCTGTCATCTGCTTAGACTAGATTGACCCAAGGTCGCAGAATTAGTAAATGGCAGTATTGGGACCAGACTATTGCTCAGTCCTCTCCACCATGTTTCCTCTTGATGAGTTAACATACACTGAACACGCACTCACCTAGTGCACAGCATTAGGTGTGTGTCCATGAGTGTGCACACACACATTGGAGTTCTCATTTCTTCTTTCTCCTCTACTAAGTAGACCAGAGCTTTCTGAGTTTAACGAGAGGGAGAATTGGAGGCCTGGTCTGAAATTTTGTCCTGTATATGCCTCTATTCATGCCCTAGTGTGCAGTACTCTTTGTGCATCTCTGGCTGACTGTGTCTGTGTTTCAGAAGCTGCTAAGTGTCCCTCTATAGGCCCTGTTGTATGACATGTGACAAGAAGTTCCTCCTCCCCCCAGCACTCAGGAGAAACAAGCACTGGTTCTGTCAGACTGGTCTTCCAAAGGCTGGCCAGTGCCTGTCATAGTGACTTATCAACCAAGGAAGTCTAAAAGAGGTACTGATAAGTTTTTCTCCAGTATCTGAAATAACCCAGCAGTGCAGCAGCAGTGACCATCACACGAAGCAGATTTGCAGGCAGCCAAGGAACCAGCCAGTTGCTGCTGGTTGGGAAGGACAGACATGAGGTCCTGGAGGATGAATAGGGGTGACCATGAATGTTGAGGATGTGTTCAGAAATGCACTCCAAACAGGCACAAAAGAGGCAGAGTGGCTGGCATTAGGGGTAACCACATGGTCTTCCTTGAACAAGTCTTTTTTTTTAAAGTATATTTTATTGATTATGCTATTACAGTTGTCCCATTTTTCCCCCCTTTATTCCTCTCTGCCCTGCATCCTGTCTCCCACTGGAATTCCCTCCCCCTTTAGTCCATGTTCATGGGTCATACATATAAGTTCTTTGGCTTCTCCATTTCCTATACTATTCTTAACCTTCCCCTGTGTATTTTGTACCTATCATTTATAGTTCTTATTCCCTGTACCATTTCTCCCATTCTCCGCCTTCCCTCTGTCCACTGATAACCCTCCATGTGATCTCCATTTCTGTGATTATGTTCCTGTTCTAGTTGTTTTCTTAGGTTTTTTTTTTTGTTTTTTTTAAGGCTCAGTTGTTCATAGTTGTAAGTTTGTTGTCATTTTACTGTTCATAGATTTGATCTTCTTTTCCTTAAGTAAGTCCCTTTAACATTTTATACAATAAGGGTTTGGTGATGATGCACTCCTTTAACTTGACCTTGTCTGGGAAGCACTTTATCTGCTCTTCCATTCTAAATGATAGTGTTGCTGGATACAGTAATCTTGGATGTAGGTCCTTGCCTTTCATGACTTTGAATACTTCTTTCCATCCCCCTTCTTGCCTGTAAGGTTTCTTTTGAGAAATCAGCTAAAACCCTTATAGGAACTTCTTTGTAGGTAACTGTCTCCTTTTCTCTTGCTGCTTTTAAGATTCTCTCCTTATCTTTAATCTTGGGTAATATAATTATGATGTGTCTTGTTGTGTGCTTCCTTGGGTCCAACTTCTTTGGGACTCTCTAAGGTTCCTAGACTTCCTGGAAGTGTATTTCCTTGGCCAGATTGGGGAAGTCCTCCATTGTTTGTTCAAATAAATTTTCAATTTCTTCCTCTCCCTGTTCTCCTTCTGGCACCCCTATGATTTTGATGTTGGATCATTTAAAGTTGTCTCGGAGGTTCCTAAGACTCTCCTTATTTTCTTGAAATCTTGTTTCTTCATTCTGTTCTGGTTGAATGTTTATTTCTTCCTTCTGCTCCAAATTGTTGGTTTGAGTCCTGGTTTCCTTCCATTTGCTGTTGGTTCCCTGTATATTTTTATTTATTTCACTTTGCATAGCCTTCACTTTTTCCTCTATTTTGCGACCATACTCAACTGCTTCTGTGAGCATCCTGATTACTAATGTTTTGAACTGTGCATCTGATAGGGTGGCTATCTCTTCATTGTTTAGTTCTATTTTTGGAGCTTTGATCTGTTCTTTCATTTGTGTCGTATTTTTTTTTTTTTTTTTTTTTGCCTCAGTGCACCTGTTATGTTACAAGGAGTGAGTCTTAGGTATTCGGCAGGGTGTAGCAACATCTTTGGGTTGTGGTGCTGTATGTGGGTGAGGGGAGAGAGAGGGAACAATGTTGCTTGCTTGGCTCTCACCCTCCTTTCAGTCACTTCTCTCACTATCCACAAGCAAATGAGGCCCTTCTGTTGCTGATTCCAGGGTGAGTGGATTTTTGTACATCCTAGGACCCTGTGGGTCTCTCCAATGAACTGTCCTGTGAGGCTAGGAGTTTCTCCTGCCACCACGGCCACAACAAGCTTTTACAGAGAGGTTTTGAGGCTTTCTTTTCCCACATTGGAACCCTGGGTTGTGTGGTCTGTCTCACTCCCCTGTTGTTCCTCCTGGTTTATCCACATGCAAATGTAGAACCGCCAGCCACCATCTTGCCCACATAGTCCTCCGGCAGCTGTCGCCTTGTGGTACATCCTCCCCATGCCAGCGGCCCATCTGCCCTTCCTACCAGTCTGGATGAATGCTTCTCCTTTAACTCCTTGGTTGTTGGACTTCCATGCAGTTCAATTTTCTGACAGTTCTGGTTGTTTTTTGTTTTTCAGTTTGTCATCCTTCTTTTTGTTGTGAGAGGAGGAAAAGAATGTCTACCTAAGAGTATGTCAGCATGGAAGGATACTACCATGGAGGACCATGTGCCCCTTCCCCATTGTGCTCTCTATTCTCCCTGAATCTTATTATTTCCCTCCCCACACTGCTGGGTTCAATAGACAGATACTCCAAGCAAGGTTCATGCTCAGTCATGCAGTGCCTGCTATGGGCTCTGCATAGTGAGTAGTAAGATCTGACCCTGACCAGCATGTGGGGAACAGATCCTGGTGGGGGATGAGATGTACCATCTGGGGAGGATGTCTCTGACAGGCTTGTCTCTCTGGAGACCCTGTTCTCAGCCTCAGAAATGTAATTCCCAGTATCCTGCTCTGATGTCAGCACAAAGAAGGAGGAGGCAGCTCCACCATGAGAGGCTAAGCAGTTTCCCAGGATATCACCATCAAGGAAAAATGAGTACAGGATGGGAGGGGAGCTCCTCTGGGCCTCACAAAGAAGCTTCACCATGTCTCCTGCAGTGAGGCCAGGGACCCAAGGCCTAGGGTGAGCTGAGAACAGGACAAAGGAGCTCAGGAAGCTCACAGGTGGGAGGTCAGCTGGAACATCCAGAGTTCCTGGCTCCTCATCAGTTAGTAACCCCTCCACACATGACTATGGGGCTCCACTACTCAATGCCCAGACCTCTGAGGAATGTCTCCATCCTGCCCCAACTTACCCTACACCCTGGTCTCCATCTGGGGGTTCTGTTTTTGGACCCTGCCACCCTCAAGGGCAGCCTTGCACCAGTATATCCCACAGTCTCCTTCTCTGGATGCTGGGGTATGGAGCACAGGATGGAGACCCCTGTTCTGCAAGGTACAGTCCTCCTTGTAGAAGGAGAAGAGGAACTGAGAGGATGACCTCTGGGAATGCAGTTTTGTCTGGCATCTCAGGTCAGGGCGCTACTCTCATAGGGCTTGGGAGAAGGGATGGCACTCAGCACAGGAGGCAGGAACAGCTCTGGATAGAGGTAGGTCCTGGGCTCAGGAGGGGAGTCCTGAACAGTGATTCCCAAGGAGCTGAGGGGGATACTGTCATTGTCTCGCAGGACATGGCCTCTCATCTGCATACTGGCTCTGAGATGGAATCCCAGAGCCACAATGCCTTAGAGGTCACCTAGTCCCCAGAGGTTAAGAGTCTGGCCCAGGTCTCAAAGCAGGTGAGTGGCAGAGCTAATCCATGGTTCTTTCCCGTCCCCCTCCCACAGCCATGTCCTGCCTCTTTCTCCTGGCTCCAGATGTGTCTTACGTGGGGGTGGGGGCAGTGTCAGGGCATGTCGACTGCATCATGGACAAGGCAGGGCCCTGCGCACTGGCCCTGCATCAGGGGCAGCCAGACGGAAGGGTACTGCCTGGAGAGCTGCTGACCTCTAGAGACCAGATCTCAGAGCAGCACCGGAGTCTTCTCCAACCACCACTCCCCTGAACTCCAAGCTGGTGACTCACTTTGAGCTTGAGCCACGGCCATCCATGAGGTTTGTCTGCCCCCATGTAGGGTGTACGTCACCTCCCTAGTGCAGCCATGCCGGCCACTGCTCCTCACTGTTGCTGTCCGTATGGTCAGAGGCTGGTTGTCCTTAGAGAAATGGAGAAACTTTCCATTATTGCAGAACTTCACCCAGGACAGGGCTGAGTTCTCCTTTCCCTGGCATTTCAGAGTCAGGGTGTCTCCTTCAAACGTGGGGTTTGGCCAAACATGGAGGACTGTGCTGGACTGTGTGAGACACGGGAACAGGGCCACCCTGGAGCTGCAGGTCCCATTAGCCCATTTTCTCACTCTCTCTCCAGCCTAGGGCCCCCCACTGAGGATGGAGCTCCCCGGATTGCACTCCACAGCTGTAACTATCCTTTAGTCCTTTATCCAGGTTAGAACAGAGAGGGATCTTGATTCCTTTCACTCCCTCTCCCTCCTTTTCCTCTTCTCTCTTTCCTCTTTCCTTCTTTTTCTCTTTAGTCTTCTTCCTCCCCTCCTCTTCTGTCTGGCCTTCATCCCTCCCATCCTCCTTGTCTCCTTTTATAGTGTAGTTTCATCTACCACTTAGCCAATCTTGGGTCAAGTTGGATTTTTTCCATCAATTGCTCTACCTTCTCCTGACCTGATGCTCACTCCCCTAGAAGGGATTCTTCGGCCCTGGCTACTCCAGTGCAACTCCTTGTACAGCCTCCAGAGATGTGCTGGAGGGGCATGTGTTGGAAGTGCCATAGCCTGAGCTCACTCCCTCCTGCTTTCCTTGTTAGGCTTCCCCAGGCCTAACCTCCATTTCCACCCCCTTCAGGAAGTTTCAGTTTCACAAATCATAAGAAGGGATCTATAATTTCTGTCCAATTTCCTAAAAATTCAATTTTGTCCCTGAGGTGTATGAGAGAAGGGCTCCTGGGGACCCTGCATCATCTGCAAAGCAGCCCCAGGTGGGCCATAGACAAGCCAAACAATTACCAGTCCCAGATGGCCTCAAGAGCCAGGCTGAATGGCCTGAGCATAATGATGACTACTCAGTGGGAAATCTTATCATATTGGCTCATAAGAAAACACCAGCATATCCTGTTTTTGCCTTGATCTCCTTGGATCTTTAGGACCCACTCCCCTTACCCTGGAAGTGGTGATGCAGTGATGCTCACAGGGTAACTGAATGATGAGCCTTGCTTCCACAACTGCTCTTTCTAGCAGCAGCAAGTGTTGGTTTGCATTCTCTCTCCCTAGCACCACAGAAAATGTCCTTGAAGGTCAAAATGATTATAGGTCAAAGTCTTCTCTTACTTGACAGAAAACTATGGAGGTCAGTAGGACAGGATGCGAGGGAGGATAAGGAGCTGAGGGAGAAAGTAGATTGATCCATAGACAACATGCCTGTTTCTATGACCATAAAAAGGAGAGAAGGGAGTCCACGGCCTTGATGAATGGAGAAAGCAGGAGCTCTAGAACTACCGAAAGAAGGCAGAGGCCTGTGCTGCTGGTAAGGAAATAGCATGGAAGACCAGAGCCACTCTACTGGGACTTGAGTTTCCCTAGAATTACCCTCAGCCTGAGTCCAGTGGAGTCCTGAGTTTCTCTTCTTCCTAGGCATTAGCTAAGACTCCTGAGGGAGGGGCCTAGTCTGATTTCTGGGAGACCCAGTGGCCTTGTTTTGTCCACATCCATTAAGTTTTGGCTTAGAAGCACACTTGGAGATAGAAAAGGCATACATAAAACTCACTGGTTTTCCCAACACAGGGAACTGCAAGAGAACAAAACAATAGAATTAGATTAATTGACAGAAAGAACTTTTTGACAAGGAGGCTTGTCACCCCAGGACTGGGTGCTAACATCCTTTGAATCAAACAGCTTGCCAGCACTCTAGACACTTAGTCATCTGACTACCTAATCACCCAGCCACCCAACCACCCACATACCCAGTTACCTAGCTACCTACCCAGCCACCAAATAGCCGTTATATCATCCAGCCATATAACCATCCAGCTACCCAGCCACTTAGCCACCCAGTCATCTAACTACCCAGCCACTTAACCACACCCAGACACCCAGCCACTTAGCCACTTAACTTTTATTGTTGGCCCGCTGCCTGGAATCCTCTGCTGTATCAGAATTCAAGTGCCACCTCCTCAGATGTGTCTTTGTGAGATCCTCAATCAAAACAATTCTCCTCAATCATTATCACCATACCTTCATTGTATTATCAGAGCACCTACTACTATTTGAAATTACATTATTTATTAAATTTTCTACTTAGTATCACCTGTCTCCTCAGTCTAGAAAATAAACTCTGTGACAGCTGGGACTGTGCCTGTCTTGCTCACTGCCAGATATTACCTATGTCTTTGTCTGTGCTGAGAATACAGTCTGTGTTCAAGAGGCATCTGTTGAATAAATACGTAATTTTTTTTTGTATCCAGTCATATGGGGCAAGGAGAAAGAGATAGAAGACATAGGACTAGACTGATGCACTAGTATGACTGAGGGTCCTATCTATACCTACAGAGGAATTCAGATAACAAAGGCAGGACCTGATTCTTGTGATCCACTGTCCAAAGAACTCTAGGGAATATGGTATGTAATTGACCAGATGAAGGAGGTAAGGTTTCCCTGGAGGAGTGATTATTAATGGATATGGAACATGGACAAGCATCTCAGATTGAAGAGAGAACTATAAACAAGCCAGTGCGTCACACACTGTGGTTGTACCTTGTATACGCTGCACTAATATTTTTACAGGAGCATTGTTAGAAGAGAATAGGTGGCCTAGGAAGAGAAGCCAAGCCACAGAATGATGACTGATGAGGTTAGATGAATATAAATAGCCCAAGACCCTAAAGTGATAGGCACAGTAGATATGAAGCAGTGGAGAGTATTCTGGAATTTGGGGCAAGGAGTGAAACAATCATTTACGGCTGAGTTCAGTCAGTCCAGCCAATCCTCATGCATGCACCTGAGTCCTTCATTATTGACATGTCCTAGGTGCTGTGATGAACAACAAGGAACACACGAATGGCCATGGTAGTGATAGGTGAACACCCACTCTGGCTGGGGTGGCTTATCTCTTTAGTCACTCTAGCACTATTTAAGTGTTTATGTATTGCACCTTTTCTAATTGTATGCATCCATCTTTGCATGCAGTTAGTGGTATGTCATGTCTCCCCCCCTTGATTTATTCTTTCCATTTCTACATCTATGCGCAGATACCCAACGAGGTGATGGCATGGCATGTCATGTGCCAGTTGCCAAATATTTATGGAGCACCCATGTGCCAGACATTGTGCTGGGTATCATTCTTATAGGCCTGGTACTTAGAATCTAGTAGAAAAGAGAGACATTAAACAACTAAATGAATCATTATAGGTGAACAAGGGAACAGAAAGTAGAATGACAGATGCTATGGGAATATGTGTGTATATGTATGCGAGGTGGTTGGAGACCTTTCCCCCAGGAAATGATGTTAATCTGACAGCTGGGGGGAGGGGTAGAAATTGGAGGTAGACAAAGAGCTGGGGAACAAACCATCCTGGCAAAAGGGACTGCATGTGCCCAGGCTGTTGGGTAGGGACAGCATAAGTATTTGGTTGTGTGCAGGAAAGAGTGTCTAAACATGACACATCACAAAAGTCTTTGGGACTGTCTCTTGACCAGCTCCTGAGCTCTTGGTATATTCTACCTGATGAGAGTATATTTGTACCTGAGACCTTGGGCCAGGCCACTAGTCTGTGCTAACAGTGTGATTGTGGTGAATGCCTATTTTTGTATGCATAGGTTGCTTTGGGCCCTGCTCTATCAGTCTGACCTCCATGGAGACTGAGTAACTGAGGTCAGTCACGCAGGTGCTGCATGGCTATGTGACTGCCCCAACAAAAACCCTGGACAACAAGGCCCAGGTGAACTTCCCTGGTTGGCAATATTTCTTAAGTATTGTCACAGAGTGTTGTTGGGAGAATGAAAAATTGTCAGCACAACTCCACTGGGGGGACAGAACTGAAAGCTCATGCCTGGTTCCTACTGGACTCTCTCTGCCCTATATGCCTTTCTATTTGGCTGATTTGAGTGTGTATTCTTTCACTGCAGTAAACTATAATTGAGAGTATAACAGTTTTTCTGTGTTTTTATAGCAGCAAATTATCAAACCCGAGGATGATCTTGGGAACTCCAACATAAGGAACACAGAGAACAAGGGCTATGGTGGAGGGGAGAGTAAAAGGTGACCAAGAATATGGAGGAAGGGATTGGATTCCTCAGGGCCTTAAAGGTCATGGTCAAGAACGGCATAGCTCTGCATAGTTCTGTGGGTTTGATCCAAGTGTGGGTACTTTATTAATTTTATTCCATGGCTCTAGGTTGCACCCAGCCCCAAATATCTCATAACAGGTACCCACAGAAAACATGTAAATCTTCTTTGAATTTTCTAGTGTAGAGTTGGGGAAGCCCAATGTCACATAAAACCTACTGAAGGAGGTGAGCAGTGTCACCTGGGGTAACATTTTCATCAATTACTTCCCCTATGGTCCACTTTGGGTTTGGAGCAGAGTCATTACTCAATATATGTTGGTAAAGAAACAGTGCTGTTTTTATTATAAAAGCCAGGGGAAAACAATCCCAGAACTGTTTGCCATAGTGAACTCCACATATTGAAAACTCAGAGGTAGCCTCACCAATTTGTTTATTATTTTATATGTCCATGGTAACAGAAAAAGTGAAAGAAAAAGTAGGGAGAGAGAGTGGTTGAAGAGATTTATTGGCACAAAAGACTGAGTTATCAAGGTTGAAAGTAAGTCATCAATTTCAGGCATGGACATGCACCAAAATGTTCCTTTGCTTGCTTGGACAAACATGCTGTTTTCTCAAGAGTGTGCCTTGAATCCATAATAGCCAGGAAAAAAATTTAAAGTAATGGAAGAAGTGCTTATGTAATTCATTTTTAAATCACACAGAAGACTATGTTTTTTGATGGTGGAAGAGGCTGGAGGCACAAGACTGTTAGGGTTGATGACTGCTGCCGCATAATACAGTAAGTTCGAGCAAGACTGCCAAACTTTGGGGCAGCAGCCTGGGGCAACCATGCAATCATAGAGCTCCACTGATAGCCTGTGAATCCAGTGCTGGATTTCTGGGGAACACAAGATGCTGTTAATATATTTTCCAATTACAACAAAGTCTTTTCTCTCTGCTCTTAAGAGAGAAGGCAGTTTATATTTAAGCAAACTCAAGTTTGAATTCTGTTCCAGCTATGTGACTCTAGGTGTGTTGCTTAAACTCTCTGGGGCTCAGTTCACTCATCTGGTCATTATAATAAAAGATCTAATTCACAGTCTTTTTAAAGACTAAATGACATAAGGTCTAAAAGTACTTGGGGAGAATCAAGATGGTGGAGGAGTGAGTGGAAGTCACACTGGCACCCTCCTAGGACCAACCTGGAATTACAACTAAATTGTGGAGAAATCACCTGGAACAAACAACTGAACAATAGCAAGGGGAGCCTTGTAACCTGAGAGACAGAAGAATTGGCTTTAGCACAATCTAACTAGTAAGGAGTGCGGTAGAAAGTTGAGAAGGCTGGTGGGGCACCCATGGGCTTCAGCACCGGAAGGACAGTAAGACAGCCAGTTGGATCCCCCTGAGAAGAGTGGGGTCAAAACCATAAGTGGGGGTCTCCAGCCTACAGCACCAGAGCCCAAAAAGTACACAGAAAACAGCCAGCTGGGAAAAGTGGCAGGGTTGCTCTCTGCCAGAGACAGGCGGCTGGCGATGCAAAGAACTGTTTAAAGGGACAACACATAA